TCAGCACCCCTAAGGGGAGCCGCCAGGGGTGTTTGCACGGGCTCGTTCGCGGCCATTTTGTGGGGATGTCTCAGGCGGTTTGCTTGTTTCTGGGCCCAACATCCTTCGCTTTCGGGGCAGATTTGGAGGATGTCTCGAGCGAGGCGCTCATTTCAGCACCCCTAAGGGGAGCCGCCAGGGGTGGTTGCCCGGGCTCGTTCGCGGCCATTTTGTGGGGATGTCTCAGGCGGTTTGCCTGTTTCTGTGCCCAACATCCTTCGCTTTCGGAGCAGATTTGGAGGATGTCTCGAGCGAGGCGCTCATTTCAGCACCCCTAAGGGGAGCCGCCAGGGGTGGTTGCACGGGCTCGTTCGCGGCCATTTTGTGGGGATGTTTCAGGCGGTTTGCCTGTTTCTGTGCCCAACATCCTTCGCTTTCGGAGCAGATTTGGAGGATGTCTCGAGCGAGGCGCTCATTTCAGCACCCCTAAAGGGAGCCGCCAGGGGTGGTTGCACGGGCTCGTTCGCGGCCATTTTGTGGGGATGTCTCAGGCGGTTTGCCTGTTTCTGTGCCCAACATCCTTCGCTTTCGGAGCAGATTTGGAGGATGTCTCGAGCGAGGCGCTCATTTTCACACCCCAGGTGGTCCAGATTTTGAGGATGTCTCGATCGGTTTGCTAGTTTTGGTGGCCAGGCTCGTGGGCGCAGATTCTTCTCAGGATGCCACAGGAGGCTCCAACAGGCTCCAGGAGGCTCCAGGAGACCACATGAGGTCCCAGGAGGCATCAGGAGGCCACAGAAAGACTCAAGAGGCCACAGGATGTCCCAAGAGGCTCCAGGAGGCCCCAGGAAGCTCCAGAAGGCTTCAGGAAACCACAGGAGACCCCAGGAGACAACAGGAAACGCCAGGAGGCCTCGGAAGGCAACAGGAGGCCCCGAGAGGCCCCAGGAACAGGAGGCCTCAGAAGGCAACAGGAGTGGTTCCAATCCCATGTGTTTTACGTATGCTCCTATCGATTGGGCCTCACCTGGAGCACGATTCTTTGATGTTCTACGTATGTTTCTATAGATGGTCCTTCTCCTGTGTACACAATCCTACATGTTTTACTCATGTTCCTATGTATTGGGCCTCTCCTGGGGCACGAGTCCTTGGTGCTTTACGCGTGTTCCTATAGATTGCCCTTCTCCTGTGGCTCTAATCCGCAATGTTTTATGTACGTCTGTTGCTATAGATTGCGCCTCTCCTGGGGCACGAAACCTTCCTAGGAGGTCCCAGGAGGTCCCAAGAGGCTCCTGGAGACCCCAGGAAGCCCCAGTAGGTTTCAGGAGGCCCCAGGAGGCCCCAGGCTCATGCACAGAGACGCGCTCGTACTACTGAGGCTCATTCACATTCCAATTCATTCGCAGTTAGATTGATGTCCAGACCGTCACAACTGAAGCCCGTTAATATTCGAAAGCTCTTGCGCCTAGACATTCACGGCGGACAGGTCCATGCGAGTAGATGCACATATGGGGAGCTCCACGCAGTGAGTAATTATTTCTCGGACGCCGCCGACTCCAGGGATAACATACCTACTCTTACACAGACTTACTCATACTCAGGCCTACTCACACTCATACCTTCTCATGGCCTGACCTACTCAACACACAACATGCAGGCCTACTCACACTCAGACTTACTCATGCTAGGATCCCTTCATACCCAGACTTACTCATACCCAGGCTCGTTCCCAGACGTGCCCATACACAGACTTACTCATACCCAGACCTACACATACTCAGACCTTCTCATCGTCTGAGTCACTCAACGCACGGACCGAGACCTACGCATACTCAGACCTGGTCATACTCAGACTCGCAAGGGTAGCCGCCAGGGGTGTTTTCACGGGCCCGTTCGCGGCCAGTTTGTGGGGATGTCTCAGGCTGTTTGCTCGTTTTCATGCCCAACATCCTTTGGTTTCAGAGCAGATTGTGAGGATGTCTCATGCGGGGCGCTGGTTTCAGCACCCTTCAGGGGAGCCGCCAGGGGTGTTTTCACGGGCCCGTTCGCGGCCAGTTTGTGGGGATGTCTCAGGCGGTTTGCTCGTTTTCATGCCCAACATCCTTGGCTTTCAGATCAGATTTGAGGATGTCTCAGGCGGGGCTGGTTTCAGCACCCCTAATGGGGAGCCGCCAGGGGTGTTTTCACGGGCCCGTTCGTGGCCAGTTTGTGGGGATGTCTCAGGCGGTTTGCTGGTTTTCATGCCCTAGTTCCTTGGCTTTCAGAGCAGATTGTGAGGATGTCTCAGGCGGGGCGCTGGTCGATCCTGGGGCAGGACCTAGGGTCGAGGATTCCATTCTCTCAGGCCACGTTTTCCTCTTGTGATCCAGGGGTTGTCCAGGTGCCGTCTGGAGCTTCCTATTGGACCGACGCTACGCGCGTGTTCTCAAATTTGTTATTTCCTCCAGGTTTGGGCTTGTGGTTCACGGAGGTGGCCTCGCGCGCGGGCGTTCACACTGGAACAGCGAATTTCGTCTCGGGATCGCACGCGTTTTTTGGCCTTGTTGTTATGGCTTAGCTTGTGCAGAGCTCACGTTCGCGTGTGGAGAACGTATTTGGGTTTTGGCCTGCTCACATGTTGCTAGGAATTTGTTTGCAGCTAATTAATGTATCCATTCTGCTTCCAGTAGACGTCGGTGTTGTTTGCTTGCATCTTCGTGTTCGCTCTTGAGACAGCTTACCACATACTGAGCTTGCTGCGTCATTACATTCGCAATCCATACTCACTGTCAGGCTCGTGTTCAGGGTTCTTTGTGCCTGCCGCGCTCGAAGCAATTGGGCATGCATGCTTGATAGGCCATATGCCAATACATCTCTTGGTATAACTCTTGGGCCGAGATCGTTGACGTTCATCCTGTGAGACTTGTGTTGTTTCCGCATTCCACAGGAGATCATGAGGAATGCTTTCTTGAATCACTTCTCCAAGAGGATCCACACTATTGGTTGGGTGAAGACCATGCTCGTAGGAACTACCCGGGACGCAAATACATGCGGCGTATACCACCTCCGTCTTTTGTCAATTAGTGGCCCGTCGATTGCTAGTTCTCGTAATTTCTCACGTTGGCGCGAAATATATTATCTCTGTTGTCCGGGGCTGTGTGCGCGGAGTGACGGCAGGGGAGACTTACTCGTTCGGAATTGCTGTTGACTTTTGAGCGAGCGTCTGCCAGATCCACTCAAGTTTGGTTTTGAAACTATCCAGTCAACCACGCGATGCCGACATTATCTGCTGTGCACACGTGACGGGACATCCGTTGGGGACCGTGTTTTCGCTGGAGTGCTAGGTGCAGGGCATGGCAATCTACAACACACTAATCAGTTGCCCCAGCAAGTGCGTAATTCTTGATGTTTCGCGTTTCCCGACCAGCCCATCTAGAAACATATCGCCAGGCGAGTTGCCTTGGCCAGGGAAGCGTAAAAGCATGTAGTGTAACAGCCGTCCAGGAAGTGTTTTTTTCGGAGGCCTCTTGGAGCTGTCTTGGATCTCTCTTGTGGTCCTCGCAGAGCCACGGGGGGCACTCTTGGGCGTTTTTTTGGGGGGTCTTTTGGGGGGTCTTTCGGGGGGTCTTCGGACCCGCTCGGCGTTCTTTGGGAGGGTCTGGGAGGCCTCCTGGTGCAATCTTGGGCCTCATGATTCGAACGGGGGGGGGGAGAAGTAGGAAATTCAGGGTTCCCCCATCGGAGGCTCAAATATGGAGTCTTGGGGCCGTCTTGGGGCGCTCTTGGGCGCTCTTGGGACCTTCTCGGGGCCCTCTTTGGCCCTTCTTGGGGCTCTCTTGGGCCATCTTGGGGCCAGCGTAAGGTCTCATGAGCCAATCGGAAGCGACAAGGCGAGAAGGCAAACCACATTGATTTTCCGTCGGTCTGGAGCCATGTTGGCCTCTTTGGGGGGTCCTTGGAGAGTTCGGAGGGCACTTGAAACCGTCTTGTGGCCGTCTTGAGGTTATCGTGAGTCATCTTGAGGTATTTCGATCAATCTTGGAGGCCATCGTGGGCTCTCTGAGACCCTCTTGGAGCAATCTTGGGCCAGGGCCATCTTGGACGCTCTAACCGCTCCGTCCCCTCCTCCCAGGCCAAGGGGAGGGGGTATGGGGGAGGGTACAGCCGCGCCATGTTCGCCACGTTCGGGGCCTGTGCAGAGTGTGTTAGGCGCGCCTGCGCACGTGAAAACACAAATCGGGAAACACGTCGGCCCCCACCATCCACGTCAACAAAAACAGTGCCCATCATCGTGTCTGGTGGGCCTGCGCACAACAGGCCGTACGCCACCACTTGACAGTGATCGCGGGGTGGCCGCGCATGATCCAGATTTAGCCGTGAGGTGCATTTTTTTGCTGTTGTAGTAAGGGATGGTAGCCCTGCGCGCAGCAGGCAATATGCTGATCCCCTTCCGTTCCTGTCAAAAGACACGACAAAGTGCTTGAGGGCCTCACGAACATGACTCCAGACTTAGCCCCAAAGTGTGCTTTGCATTGTTTTTTTCAGGAATGGTGGGCGGGGGGCCCTCATGGGGTCCTCGTTGTTCCTGGTTGGCTGCCGGTCGCCTGGGGGAGGGGGTGTATATTAATGGGGAACAGTGATAACCCCTCCCCCGAGCAGGGGAAGGAGGGGCTTGGCACAGAGAAGAAACAGTTCGTTAAACCACCTACGCCCAGAGGGCTTGTGGGATTCGTGGAGAACATGCCGTGGGTCATTTTCGCGAGCATGTATATTTGTATATGACAGCTATGCACGGTTTCACAACCATGCCCATGTTGCAAGTGCTCGAGTATTTGTTCTTGCGTCAGGTCGTCTATGCACATGCCCCTTGTCTTGCGTGAGTAGCCATGAGCGTTTAAGATGTTTGATGCACGTGCGTGCGTCACTTGGTTGCGTTTTCAGCGCTTGTCCATTCCTTCGACCTACACCTCTGGCGATCACTACTGTCCATCTGGCCCGACCATGGGCATGCACCATGGACTTCTGGCACTGAGTGCCACGAGTGATTTGTGAACCCCTGTGCTTTGGGCATCGAACGTGTCTTTCGCAGGTGCTGGGATCAGGTGTCGGTGCGCGCGCGTGCACACTGGCAGCAGTTCTGCATTCCCGTGAGCGCCTGCTCACGCGCTCGCGTGCGACGCCTTTCATATTCTGGCCGGATTTTGTGGTGTCTTGTGATGAAAACATGATGGCCAGAATGCGATATTATGCACACGTGCACGGCACCCGCTCCTGCGAGAGGAGACGCGATGGCATTTCCCCCCCTCCCCGCCCGCCGTCTCGCGAGGCTCCTCTTCCTCGGGGGCCCCAAAGCGGTGCGTTGACCACACCGCGTGGTGAGCCGGTGGGGAGAGTCGGGGCCACCGCACGGGTTTGGGCGTGGGTCGTTCTCCGGGGATGGACCGGGCGACTGGGGCCTCCAAGCCGTGCGGTGGCGGACCGTGCGGTGAGAAATCAGGAGGAGGAGGAGGAGGAGGAGGAGGAGGAGGAGGAGGAGGAGGAGGAGGAGGAGGAGGAGGAGGAGGAGGGAGGAGGAGGAGGAAGGGGAGGAGGGGGAGGACGAGGAGGAGAGGAGGAGGAGGAGGAGGGGAGGGGGAGAGGAGGAGGAGGAGGAGGGAGGGAGGAGAAGGAGGAGAGGAGAGGGGGGAGGAGGGGGAGGAGGAGGAGGAGGAGGAGGAGGGAGGAGGAGGGGAGGAGGAGGAGGGGGAGGAGGAGGAGGAGGAGGGGATTCCGAGGCCGCCGCACGGTCCGTCACCACACGGTGCGGGGACCTCCGCCTCTTCCCCTGTGCCTGGGCTCTCCGCGCGGGGCGCCGGGCCGCCGCCTACCCCAGAGTCGGCGCGGCGAAGTCCGAGCCCTGCCCTCGCCGAGCAGCGGCTCGGGCAACTCGATGGGCGGCGGGGGTTACCGTCGGACCGAGGTCGAAGATCGAGGTCGGTTCGGGGAGGGTGCCCTGGTGTGTTTCGTGTGTGTGTGTGTGTGCTTTGTGTGTGTGTGTGTGTGTGTGTATGTAGCTTTTAGCGGAAGAGGTTCGCTCCCGCCCCGCAGATCAAAACAAGTGTGTGTGTGTGTGTGTGTATGTGGAAGTCCGTGGAGTGGACTACCACGGCTGGTACTCCTGACATCACTTTGGTGGCACAACGTTGCACTCCAACTCCGTGGTGCTCTTCTTCCTCTCGGACGTCGACCTGGTCAAGTGGCGCGTCCTCCCCCGCAGTTTGTGAGGCTGGTGTTCTCGAAGCGCTGCTGACGTCTACACCACCAGCTTTTTTCTCGTGGGACTTCACCACCGGGCTCCTGTCCAAGGTGTACTTTTTCCTGCACGTCCACTTCGGCACCGCCTGATCCCTGGGCTTCGCCCGCTCCTGGCCGCGTGAGGCCCCGCCTTCTTCCGCCCTTCCTCTGCTAATTAAAACTGTGCGCGTCCCGCTTAACTTTCAGCGGAAGAGGTTCGCTCTCGCCCTGCAGATGAAAAGGGAAGTGTGTGTATGTGTGTGCGTGTTGGCTGTTCTTGTGCATCCTGGGAGGGGTGCTTTCGAATGTTCTGTTTTCCCCAAGCAGGGCTTGCCTCTGTAGGGGTCCTACAGTCGGGGCGTTGGCCTAAGGAACCCTGAATGAGGAACGAGGCCCCTTTTTCCCATCAGATAAACTTCGATTTCCCATGGGACCCCCAAAGGAGAACCCAAGGCAAACTGTAAAACAATCAAGGAACGCCGAGCCCCTCCCCAACGAAAAGGGTTCCTTCTTGAGCGCCCCGATTGTAGCGTATACATCCTTTTTGGTGAGGAGGGTCGCCGATTTCGGTGGCCGGCTTGGGTGCCCGGGTGCCCGGGGGTGCCTGGGTGCCCGGGTGCACGGGTGTGCCCGCAGGTGCCCGGGGGTGCCCGGAGGTGCCCGGGGGTGTCCGGGTGCCTGGGTGCCTGGGTGGGTGCTTTATCGCCCTATGGCCCTATAGCCCTTTGGCCATACAACCCTATAGCTGAGTAGCCCTATAGCTCTACAGCCCTCGAAAAAATTGGATTGTTTTTTCCTCTGGTACCATTTTTTTGTTTGGCCGGCGGAGCGCGGGGCGCTGTGGACTTTCAGTTCGCGCAGGAGGGCCTGCACTGACGGTTAGAGCCTGCAGGCAGCGGGCTTCTCGGGGTGCATTGTTGCGGTCGGTCTGGGAAATTTGGACTCTTTTGGCGACTCGTGCCGCTTAGGCAACCTGGGACGCCCAGGCCACCCATGCCACCTGGGCCGCTTGGGCCACTCCAGCGATTTGGTCTGGCCAGGCCTCCTGGATCTGAGTCCCTTCACCGCGGGATGGCATATCCCCTCTAACAGCTCCCCCTCAGCTTCGTGGCAGCAGGACTCTCAGGGGAGCATGAGAAGGTGATCATTCGGGCCATTAGGGTTACCTGCGTCACTTGGACCACCACGGACACCAGGGCCACCTGTGCTGCATGCGCCACTAGGGCCACGTGGGTGTCCCTGAGCTGAGCCACGAAGGACACATGAGCTGTGTGGGGCGTTCAGGTCATCCGAGCCACCCAGGTCACCGCGGCCCATCAGGGCTGCTTCGGTCACCTGGGCCACGTGGGCCTTTTGGATCACGTGGGTCACCTGGGCCACGTGAGCTATTGGGGCCAGGAGTAGGTGGACCAATTAGACCAACTGCGCCACCTGGATCGTCTAAGCCACTCGTGTTGTTTTGGCCACTAGGCCACTTGGGGCGCCAGAGTCTCCCCAGACCACCTGCGCCGCCTGGGCCACCTGGGAAGCCTGGGCCACCCAGGCCACTTGGGCCGCTTGGGCCACTCCAGCGACTTGGTCTGGCCAGGCCTCCTGGATCACTTGAGTCCCTTCTCCGCGGGATGGCATATCCTCTCTAACTGCTCCCCCTCAGCTTCGTGGCAACAGGGCTCTCAGGGGAGCATGAGGAAGGTGATCATTCGGGCCATTAGGGTTACCTGCGTCACTTGGACCACCACGGACACCAGGGCCACCTGTGCTGCATGCGCCACTAGGGCCACGTGGGTGTCCCTGAGCTGAGCCACGAAGGACACATGAGCTGTGTAGGGCGTCTAGGCCATCCGAGCCACCTGGGTCACCTCGGCCGCTTGCCTTGGCCATCAAAGCTGCCTTGATCATCTGAGCCACGTGGGCCACTTGAGTCACGCGGGCCACCTGGGCTACGTGAGCTATTTGGGTCTGGAATAGGTTGGCCAAGTATGCCACCTGCGCCACCTGGATCGTCCAAGCCTCTCGTGTTGTTCTAGCCTCCACTTGGGGCGCCAGAGCCTTCGCGGGCCACCTGAGTTGCCAGGGACATTTAGATAGCGGTGATCTCCATGGCTAATTCGACCACGAGTGCTACCTTGGCCAGATGGACCGCACGCGTCACATGGGCCACCTGTGACACGTTGGTCACCTCGGTCAGCTGGTGAATATGGCTCTCGGGGACAACGCGGGGCGCCTGAGTCAGCTGGGCCGCCTCCGCCAGCTGCCACACCTTGGCCACTTGGCCCACCTGGGCTTCCTGGGCCCCCAACCCTCTTGGGTAAGACGGGTCGCTTCGCTGATTTGGGTCCTCTCGTCTCCGTGGGTAGATGGCGTGTGTCCGCGTGTCGTTTCCCTCACGCTTCGCGGGCCCCCGTGCGGGCTCGCACCCTCCCCCCCCATCCCCGCGGTCACCCCGTCTTCCCGTCAGTGGTGTCTGATTGATCTTGGGCGCGATGGTTCCACCGAGCCCTTCGCGAGATGCTCGGTTGAAGCATCTTGTGCTCTTGAAGACGTCTGGGCGGGGCCGTCTTGGAACCATTGCGTGGCGGTCGCGGGACACTCCGATTCTCGGCCGTCTCCGGCCATATCGGGCTCTCTGACACTTTCCCAGGCGGTACGATTTCGAAAAGCCTCAGAAACACTAGACATTGCCGTAGGTTTCCAGTTGACCTCTTCGGGTCTGGCTGGACGCGTCTTGGTCCATCTCTTTGGGGCTCTTGACGTCTCTTGGGAAGACATTGGAGCCTTTCGCAGGTCGTTGGACCGTTTGCCAGCTGGTCGCGCGAGCTATCAACCCACCTCGGACTATTGGGAAGGCCTCGGCGACCACGGCGGCGAGGACGCTGACGCTCTGGATCCCTCCTTTGGGCTCTCTTGGCAGCCTCTTTGGCTCTCTGTTGGGGCTGGGGCCATGGCTGGGGCCGAGGCCGGGGCCAGAGCCCAGAGCCGGGGCCTTGGCCAGGGCGGGGACTGGGGCCTGGAGCCCCGACCCCGGGCTGGGGGGGGGGGGCGGCTGGGGCCAGGGCCTTGGCCAGGGCCTGGGCCGGGGCAGGGACTGGACCCAGACCCCCTCGCACCGTGAAGCAGCAAGCACGACGGGCGGGCGTTGGCCACCTTCGGCCTCCGAGGGGCCCTCACCGGGCCCCCGGGGACCGTCAAAGCACGGCGCGGGATGAAAAACCGGTCCCCGGGAAAGGGTCCAGCCTTCTGGACCTCTGGGGGTCGACGCTGTGACAAAGGTCACGACGTCGGGGGTCTGGGGAGCCGGGGCCGGGGGCAGGGAGAGGGCTGCTGAGCTCAGGGGGCCGCCCAGGGGGGTCATGACCCCCGGGGCCCCTCCCGGGACCCCCCCTGAAATCCCCCCAGGACCCCATCCGGCCACTCCCCCAGGACCCTCCCTCCCCGGCACCTTCCCAGGAGCCCCCCGGAAGGAGAGGCATCAAAGGGAAGGGCTTGCCTGCCTTCGAACGAAGGACGACTTTTCTTGATTTCCGTTTAGCTGGATCGCTTGAGGAGGAGGGCCCAGTGAAAGGGGGAGCGGGAAGACGACGACGACGCCGACGACGACGAAAGCGGAAACGCGTCTCACAGACGCCGAAGGGTCGGTGGATTTGTCGTCTCCCTTCGTTGGGGAGTGCTGTCCTTCGCAGCATGTTCGTTGGCGGCGGTTTCGGGATTCGTACACGTGGAATCCTAAAAGCCGCTCTTCCAAGCAGGGGTGTCGTGCTCTGCTGCCGCGTTCATTGGCATTTTAAGTCCGCCGCTTGGATTCCATGGTGTGTTTTTCTTGTGGAATGCGTGCCCATCCGCACCGCGGTCGACGGTACTGACCACGCACGGTCGTCGGGCTCTGCTGGGTGGGGCAACATCGCGATATGCCGTGGTCCGTAACGCTTGGCTGTCCCTGGACAGCTCCTCTAGGGGCTTACCTGGGATGGTGCCTGGGTTGAGCAGGGCCTGGCCTACGCGCCAAACTCCTGACGCCACCGTCGGGAAACGTCGCAGCTACGGGAGGTCGGCCGACGCGAGAAGGAAGCTCGTGCGTGTGCGTGTGTGCATGTGCTTGTGCAGGCGCGAGCGGGCAGCATTGTTTCTATGCGTATGTTCGCATGCATGAACTGCCAACAAAGACCACATGCAGAGTGACATGGTGGTCGTTCCGAGCTGGTGGTGCAGAGCGCGTTGACGAGAACGCTGTGAGTTTCTGATTGGCGCCATCGTATCATTTGCTCCTCCTGATAAAGCATTGTCCTCAGGAATATACCGTTTCTATTCAAGATTTTATCTTGCTGCCTACGGCAAGTCCCGCCACCGTGCTGAGGTTGTGGGTTATAAGCTTATTGGATGTTCGTTTGGATCTCGTGGGATGCCTCTCGGGGACCTTTTGCAGTTTTGTTGAAGCCTCTTGGGGGCCGTTTTAAGGCTTCTTTTGGGTCTCTTGGGTGCCTTTTGGGGCGTCTTGGGGGCTTCTCGGGGGCCTCTGGGGGCCTCTTGGGGCCTCCAGGAGGCCTCTGGGAGGCTTCTTGGAGGCCTCTTGGGGCGTCTTGGAGGCCTCTTTGGGCCATCTTGAAGCCATCTTGGGCTTCTTCGAGCGATCATTCGGCGACTCGGGGCCCTCTTGGACCGTCTTGGGGGCCTCCTGGGCCGTCATGGAAGCCTTGGAGAGCCCCAGGAAGGAGCCATGGCCGTCATGGAAGCCTTGGGGAGTAGGGGTGGTGCAGTCGGGTGGGCGTGACAGGGGGGGGTGGGGGGGTCCCCTAGAAGACTACATAAACCCTGCCAAGCAGTCTCTGGCATTCTTCCACGCTTCAGAGTGCCGCAGGCATGGTGGCGGATCTGTGCGGCAGGCTTTGTCGATTCAAGCGCACCCAAACAAGAAGCTGGCCGAGAGGCTGCACAAGGAGTTCCCCCTGCATTATCCCGACGCGAATCACAAGCCAGAGATTGCTCTACCTCTTGGCCACTTCGAGGCGCTCTGTGGTTTTCGACGACTACCTGATATAGTAGCACAAATAGAAGCTGTCCCAGAATTGCGACAGCTGTGCGTAAAAGATGGAGTGGATCCAGAGTCCGAAGGCCTGCGAGTGCTGTACTCGCGTTTGATGCGTTCGGACCCAAGCGAGGTTCGGGCAGCTGCTGTTGAGATGGTTGAACGGCTGCAGTCCAAGGACGACCGGAGCAAGGAAGAGGACCTTGTCCTCAGGGTTGCCCCGGACTACCCTGGAGACTGCGGTCTTTTCTCTATTCAGAGCGCTTCGCGAGATGTTAACGCCCAGCCGAAAGTGGAGCCATTGGAGGGTGCGCTGGATGGGAAGGGATGGAATAGGCGGAGATGGGCGTGGAGGGGAGAAAGAGAGGTAAAAGGGGAGTGTGACGATGAATATCAAGTGAGGGGTAGTGGAAGGGGAGTGGGGAGGTGATCGGGAGAGGCACCCGTTCTAGGCACAGACAGGGATAGGTTGGTGGGTTGCACATTTGTTGTTTTCGTTGGACTTGAGCTTCCCCAGTGCACATGTGAGAAGCATGCTGTGCCATGCTCCAGGAAGAACTAGCCCAAGTCAAGTAGTCGTTGTCGTTTCTTTTTGTGGTGGGATCCTGGAGACGCCTCCTTCCAGAGCTCCGATCAGGTAATCGTTGGAACCCGATCGCAGGAGTTTGTCGTGGCCAGCCAGAGAGGACCTGACCAGATGTGTGAGCAAGAAACGATATCTCACCCACGAAAGCCAGTGGTATTCGCGCGCGTAGCCGCGCAGTCGTGATTGCATCGCGCGGTCGCGTAGTCGCGTCGCCATTCCTTCCCTCCTGCTCCCTGCCTGCCGTCTCCGCCTGGCCCCTCTTCCGCCTTCCCGCCCGCCCCGCAGGCCCTGGCCTCCCGCCTGCGCGCTCGTCGTCGTCCGCCTGCTTCTCCCCTCCGCGCCCCCTTCCGCCGGGCAGCACAGCCTGCCCGGGGCCAGCGTTGCGGCGTGTGGGGCTTCGGCCGGCAACAGTTTGTGACTGTTTGCCCTGGTATTCTTGCATTCTTGCTGCTGTTGTCCGTGCTTCTGATGTTGCCGATGGTTTCGTCGAAGCGGAGGCCCTGATGATTTTTGGCGAGTTTCGTCCCATCCCGCCACCGTGCCTGGGTTTTTTAGGTCAGACAGAGGCCTCTTGAGAGGTCTCTCAGAACCGCCTCGGAGGCAGTTTTGGGGTGTCTTGGGGCCTCTCGGGGTTGGGGCTTATTGAAGTCGTTCTGGACCTTT